CCCGGCCCAATCCAATTAACCCAAACTCAATTTCATTACAGGAAAAAAAAAAAAAAGTCATAAAAATGACAAACATTAAATGTTTATTAAACTCCAGTGTCTTTATTTGTATGTTTTTCCATCTAACTGAACTAGAACTCTGTCGATCAGAACTCAGAGGGAGGTGTGTTTCTTTGCAGACGACGCCATCATTCACACACAGCTCCCAGTCATTAGTTCACACCTACCATTCATTACTCCGAGAAGCCTCTTCACGTGTTTCTACGCCGTGCAGCAGATTTTACTCCGTGTTGTTATCTGGGGGAGAAATCTGTGCCTCAGATAGAGTTTTGACTGAGAGTGCAGACATCACCTCAGTCAGAATCTCTCTACTCCCACTCTTCTGTGCTGGCTGCCATTTCTACTGGAAGTTCTGCCAAAAAACTGAGACTGACTCTGTACAAGCCTATCATGTCACCGGGAAAAAATAGCTTCAGTGGTAGACCTGTGCTCCTCGGAGCAGCAGCGGTGATTCAACAGCGCCGCATTTAAAGTTGTATCTTCACCTGCAACAAAAGGCCGACATCCCGTCGTACATGTACCGTCACCTTTGGCTCCATAGGGGGAGGAGACGAGGAAACCGAAACACAACGTGTCGTGAATTATGCAACGCGGACGCTGCGTCCGTTAAAAAGAAAAAAAAGTCGGCAGCATTTTCCAGCCAAACTGTGATGTTGGCGTAAAATGTGTTAAAGAGATTTTAACGTTGGTGAATTTCACTGACTGGAGTTTTTGTTGTCTGTTCTGTTCCTTCATTTTTTCTTCATTTTAGGTTAGGATGTCCGATATTGACTTTTTTGCCGACATGTCGATATTGTCCAAACACTTAATTTCTGTTTCCGATGTCGACCGATACGGATATAGACCTGGTAATTTCTGTTTCCGATGTCGACCGATACTGATATACACCTGGTTTTATTTATAAATTTATTCATCTGTACAAACCACTGTATGATTTTCTGCGTAAAATCTCCTGATTAATAAAATAGATTAAATAAATGAGCTGCAATGCTGCCATCTAGTGACTTCCACTTTCATATGCAGCTGTTTTTCCCCCAAAACTATTTTATAGGTCACACATCATTTGGCGAAACCCAGGCATCGAGTTCGGGTTTTCACTATCGCAGGAAAAAACCCCCAATAACGCACATTATATATCAGATATTACATAATCATGCTAACATCGGTCGGCCGATATTATCGCACATCCCTAATTTTAAGTTGTGTTATTTGGTCGGCGGAGTGACCGTTTGGTCATGTTTCATAAATAAGCGTAAACAGTAGATTATTGACCAGAAAAGTTGAATTTAGCTAACGTTGTTGTACACCTTCTACCCACGGGAGACCAACCACCGATTTAGTCTGGAATTGAACCGACAACACTCTGAGTGTACCACAGCTACAGCCAGCCCAGGGGAGGGAGGGGGCGAGGGGTCGTAGGTCAGCGCTTTTGTGTCTTTTACAACAATGAAAATGTGAGACTGAAATGAAGACTCGCTGACGACAGGATTCAAACCACGGTGCAGATCGATCGTAGTCGTTCGAGTCACGTTATCGCTGGAAGAAAAAAAAAACTGTGAAATCTCCGGAGTCTGAACTTTTTTCAGTGCTTATTTTTCCCCACAATAAAACCAGAGCCACAGCTGCAGTGGAGGGTCAGGTCCGTGTGAATGTGAAGAGCAGATAGATGCTGCGGCATTTCACAGCTGACTCACAGAAAGGAGGAAAGAATCAACCACGGCACGCCGACAGAGCTCCGACGACCACGGCCGTTTCTGTGGAGCTCTGCTCCCGCAGACACCGGTGGATTGATTTCCTGAGGATGAACGACGACACCAGAACCAGCCGCACATGCACTTTTGTGTTATTTATGAGCACGACTTCAGCTCCAGCCGCTCCCGCTCTGGTTTGATTTGATTTTGCTTACTTTTGCTCACACAGGTTATTCCTAAAAGGCCGGAGCTGCCATGCCATTTGGTTGTCTGACACTTGGGGAGAAGAAGGACTACAACAGCCCCACAGAGGTCACCGACAAGTATGACCTCGGACAAATGGTTAAAGCGTGAGTACACGCTTGTCGTGAAGGCTTCAACACTTTCTGTGTTTTAGCTCAGGTTTAGTCTTCATCTTCCCGCCTCTCCCACAGGGAGGAGTTCTGCGAGATATTCCGAGCCAAGGATAGGAACACCTTGAAAATGTACACCTGCAAAAAGTTCCACAAAAAGGACGGGAGAAAAGTGCGGAAGGCTGCTAAGAACGAGATAATGATCTTAAAGATGTAAGTGATGTGTTTTTTTATCTCCTCATAATAAATCCCACAGCTCTGAGGCGGCGCCGCGCTCCACAAATAATCAGCCCAGTCCTCGCTGCCGCTGAAGTCGAGCACAAAGAAAACGTGTCAAAATCCACTAGGCTTTAGTATTTTAATACACTCCCTGAGAGCCGCACGGGAGCAGCAGCATTAACAGCAGCAGCAGCAGCAGTAAAAGCAGCAGCAGCAGTAACAGCAGCAGCAGAAACAGTAACAGCAGCAGCAGCAGTAAAAGCAGCAGCAGCAGTAACAGCAGCAGCAACAGTAACAGCAGCAGCAGTAACAGCATCAGCAGCAGTAACAGCAGCAGCAGCAGCAGTAACAGTAACAGCAGCAGCAACAGCAGCAGCAACAGTAACAGCAGCAGCAGCAACAGCAGCAGTAACAGCAGCAGCAGGAACAGCAGCAGCAGTAACAGCAGCAGCAGAAACAGTAACAGCAGCAGCAGCAGCAGCAGTAGCAGCAGCAACAGCAGTAACAGCAGCAGCAGCAACAGTAACAGCAGCAGCAGCAGCAACAGCAGCAGCAACAGTAACAGCAGCAGCAGCAGCAGCAGTACCAGCAGCAGCAGCAGTAACAGCAGTAACAGCAGCAGCAGTAGCAGTAACAGCAGCAGTAGCAGCAGCAGCAGCAGTAACAGCAGCAGCAGGAACAGCAGCAGCAGTAACAGCAGTAACAGCAGCAGCAGTAGCAGTAACAGCAGCAGTAGCAGCAGCAGCAGCAGTAACAGTAGCAGCAGCAGCAGGAGCAGTAACAGTAATAAATATAAATATTTATATATATTTAAGGTGTGACGTATATTTGGTGCAGTTTTATTTCCATTTAACACCATATATAAAAAACAAAGTAAATGTGTTTATAACTAATAGTTTCTGACCAAATGTTTACATGTTAATAACAACAGTTAATACTTTTTTTCTCTGTCGTTCTAAGGGTGAAACATCACAACATCCTTCAGCTGGTGGACGCTTTTGAAACTAAGAAAGAGTACTTCCTCTTTCTGGAGCTGTGAGTATCACAGGGAATATTCTACGTCTCACACCGATCAGAAAAAAAAAAAAAAAAAAAAATTCCGACCTCTACGTTCAACCAGAATCAGTGTCACGGAGCTGGACAGACGAAGCTCCACATTTACCTGATGAAACAAAAAGCCCAGAATTGGTCATAAAACGTTATGAAGCCCGAAGGAACGCGCAGATCTCAGTCTACCCAGAATTCATAGCTATCACCAGGCAGCTCGAGCTAATAGTATGTACAACAGGGGAGTTGGAGTTCCATCAGAATCCTTATTAACGACTGACGACGGACGAAAACCAGAAAATTGAACAATAACAATGCCTTACGTGCCGAGGGTCCGGGGTTCGAGCCCCAGAGGACATATACATATCCCTGATGGCGCCTCCTGTGGCAGCCTGTGTGGGTTGCAATGAGTCACACTGTGACTTTGACACTATATAGTACAGTATTACAGAAGAACTACTGACAGTTGTAACCAATTCCTTTTCAGTTCATTTTTTATGTATTATTCAACGATTCCCTCCTTTTTCTTTCCACCACATTTTTTTCTGAAATATATTTCCCGCCGTCTTTTCTCCTCAGGGCTACGGGCAGAGAGGTGTTCGACTGGATCCTAGATCAAGGCTACTACTCAGAGAGGGACACCAGCAACGTGATGAGGCAGGTGTTGGAGGCCATAGCTTACCTGCACTCTCTGAAAATCGTCCACAGAAATCTGAAGGTATGTCCCAACGCTGACACCTGGTGAAAAGCGGCGGTATTGCAACTCAGGGTGATGAAACTGGATTTGAAATGAAATCCTCAACATTTGGACAGAATGACTTCCAAAAATCCCTGCCTGCTCCTGTCTTTGTTTACTCACCAGTTGGAGAACTTGGTGTACTTCAACCGTCTGAAGCACTCCAAAATTGTTATCAGCGACTTTCAGCTGGCAAAACTGGAGAATGGACTCATTAAGGACCCATGTGGGACTCCGGAGTATCTTGGCAAGTGGTGTAATAATGTTGCACAATGCAGTACAACTCTTTTTGTTTTTGTTCATTTAACAGGATTGTAACCACACAGTAGAGAGCAGTCTGTCTGCAGCATATGTCACTGGATCATATTTTTCATTTTTTTGGTTTTTCATTTTCTGCTCTCAGCTCCTGAGGTGGTTGGCAGGCAGAGATACGGACGCCCTGTGGACTGTTGGGCCATCGGTGTCATCATGTACATACTGTGAGTCCGCTGTCATTAAACAGCACTTGTATCGTATCGTTTTCAGATGTAAACAGAGTTTTCTCATTGTGACAAATGACAGTTTGTCCGGAAACCCTCCTTTCTACGATGACGCAGAAGATGACGACCCCGACAACCGGGACAAAAACCTCTTCCTGAAGATTCTGTCTGGAGATTATGAGTTTGACTCACCGTACTGGGACGACATCTCAGACTCTGGTAAGATAACAGCAGTGAGTCAAGTTGTTCCACTGACTCTGACACACCAGGCCGGGGGTTTGATGCTCTCTCGTGTTTCTGCAGCCAAAACATTAGTGACATCTTTGATGGAAGTGGATCAAGACCAGCGACTGACGGCACAGGAGGCCATAGCCCATGAATGGTAAAAATCAATAAATGAATAAATAAAAAGAAAGGACGTTGAGTTAATCAAATGAAGGCAGTTGTTTATCAGGCTGTAAATGTGTCACGATTCGAATAATGTGATGAAAAAAAACTTATCAGGCTGTAAATGTGTCACGATTCTAATAATATGATGAAAAAAAAAAAACGTCTCGCTCTTCTCTCAGGATTTCTGGAAATGCTGCCTCAGACAAGAACATAAAGGATGGGGTTTGTGCGCAGATAGAAAAGAACTTCGCCAAAGCCAAGTGGAAGGTACTTCACTTCACGTATTTCATTGTGCATTAATATCACAGTTTGGAACATACAGAGAAATGTGGAAAAAATACATTTTTATTGTTAATTAAAAACAAAAGTCAAATATTGAGAATAAACATATGAAAACAAATAAAACAGATGTACAATCTGTTCCAGCGTTTTACTGTACAGATTCTCTTCATTAGTCATAATAAGTCAGAATTAATTATGATTCATCTACAGCTACACTGTAAAATATTTCAATTGTTTTTCCAGTAATTAAGAGTTTAAATCAACAGCTGCTGATTCCATCGTTAGCGACCGTGAATTTTTAATTATATTTTTACTAATTATACAGTTACATCTCTAATTGCTCTTAACTTTTGAGCACATTGTCTTGAGCTTGAATGAATCGTACTGATCGCTGTTCGACCCCCGCCCCCCATGTTTTATGTTCCTCTCGTCCAAGACAGAGAGAGTGGAGGAGAAAGTGGCTGCTCAGCGGGAAAACTTTAATCACATTCTCAGCTCTGTTTTTGGTCTCATATTTTATTGGACTGTCATTTCAAAATCCTCTCAGCTGCGTCTTCAGAGCATAAAATCTGATCTGAGCATCTGAATGATGCTGCTGCAATAATCACTTTTTACTGAGGATTTGCAGAATCTTATTACCTCGCGTGTGTGTGTGTGTGTGTCCCACATGTCAGTGGCATTGATTGTTTCTGACTCTCCTGTTATAAACAGAAGGCTGTCAGAGTGACTACCCTGATGAAGAGACTCAGGGCCTCTGAGCCGGCGGACTCTGGGGCAGCGGCTGCGGCTGATCCAAACACGCCCGGCGGTGCGCCTGCTCCCGCTCCTGGGGGCAAGAGTGAGGGTTTTGCCGCCAGCATAAAGGCCGCCCTGAGTGAAAAGGCCCCCGACACACAGACTCCCAACCCCCCCACCCTCACCCTGCCCAGTGCGGCCCAGCCGGAGGAGCAGCCTCAGTCACGGTGCAACGGCGACGTTCCTCAAGTGATGCCTGAAAGAGAGGGAGATTAGGCGTCGATCGGCCGAGGGGGCGGAGCCTCGCCATCTGAAAAGCACACACACGTTATAGCCAATGAACTTGGCATGATGATACCACATCTATGATGATTGGCTCGCCATAGTTTGCAGAATTGTTTCACATTGCCATGCATTTCATCTCTTTTTGCCTTCTGTACTGATTGGTCTATTGAGTAGTTGTTGTCCAGTCTCCCTTGTTGTTTTATGTTCAAGTCCCTTTAAGGATAGTTGCAAAGTAGCTCTTCTTCTTTGTTTCCTTTTCTTAAGAACTGTTAAAAAAAACAAACAAAAAAAACAAAACAAAACAGAACTGTGTAGTTTAGCCAAACCACCATCTTTATTCATCTGCTTTTTGTATATAGATGTATTCGTCTGTTCAGAGATTTTGCTAGTTTCCAGACGCAGAACTTGCGAATTTTGAGTTTAAGTCTTGTGACTTAAAATTTTGAGTTGAAACATTTGATAAAAACAGTCATAACGATATTGATTTCAAGAAGTCAAATTATTACCTTCAGATAACAATCTTTATTATCTTAAAGTCAGCTCCTGTGTTCGAGTTAATGCTTTCAAAACCATACCTTAAACAGAGACATATTTGGTCACAATCCTGTCATTTACTGCTGGAATCTATCATTAAAACAAATCTAAAGTGACTTAGGCCATTCTGGCCAGTTCTTCAAAATTGTGAGATATTTGAGACTGGTTCCTAAAACTGTTTCCAGTACAGTGCATTTATAGTCAATTCAGAATTTTAAGACATCAAGAAAGTATATTTTTAAGTTAAAGTGCCTTAATATTTGTTGCCGTAGTGTTTAAAAAGAAAATAGATTACAAAAGCTTACTAGTTTCTTTGAAATGTTTTAGCAAATTTCCTTTTGTTCTTCTGTTTAGTCTAATGGTGTTGTGTTCTGATGATTGTGTTCTGTCACCTTCACACTTTAAAACACAGAAAACTAGGTTTAGAACATTTTATGTGGAGTGTTGTTTTAGCTGTATTTGTGTTGTCACTTGTAATTAGTAAAATACAGAGTTTATTGCCGAGTCCAGATACCGTACTGCTATGTATATTTGCATTGTATACATGTGTATTTTTAATTTACATGTGTATTTAGCAACATTTAGCTGAGCTAACTAGTTGCTACAGTGCTTGTGAATGATTAAAATGAGCAATACTGATGTTGCTGAAACCGTTTCTAATATTTTTTTGAGTAGAAAAATATTTTAGAATGAAAGCAGTTGTAAAAAAAAGTGCGTAAGTAAATAAACGAAAGAGATTAAAAATCCAGATTATATTTGTAAAGAGGCATGTATATCACAAAAAGGTAGTACAGTGCTAAAATAATACTTAAAGGGGTTAAAAATGTAGTTTTTACTACATTTTACTAACACAAAAGTAGACCGAGGGAGCTCTTAAAGGGGTTAAAAATGTAGTTTTTAAACTGTAGAGTTAGAACATTTAACAAAACCATAGGTGTAACATAACAGGCGACAGGTCAAAATTGTGCATCAAAGGTATTAGGTCCTGATTCTAATTAGGTGAAAATTAGTCCAGGTTTTGGCTTCTTTTCGCAAAAGCAGAACATCATTTAAATGTTTAAATATAAGGTAATTCGTGTAATGGTTTTTCGGGTCAGGTGGGGGGGGCATGATATCTAAAAATGTCCTAAGAAACACAAAAGTAGACCGAGGGAGCCTCGTTTTGATTTTTAAAGCTGACTATTTGCCAGCTTTAATGGTAAACATAAAGTTCTACAGAAGAACTCCGGGGCAGAGTGTGGCGCCAAAGCGTATGTCACGCTGAACAGCCATCAAACACGAAGAAGAAGAAGCCGTCTCCATTTTTAGTTTTTCAGGGAGAGACGCCAGGGATCTGTTCGGTGTCGAAACGGAGGTCGAAGAAGAAGTAAGACATCATCTAAATAATATTGTACGCGCAAAATACATTTTGTTACTATACTTATTTTAAAAAACGACAATTTCCTTTTCCAAAATGACGCAATGAGTTTGCTCTATAAACGGCAACGCTAGCAAAGCGGCGCTAGCTCGGCTAGCGTAACACTTAGCTCTATGACTATTATAGTCTTTAGTTCGCTGTCAGGTCAGGCTGAAACATATGGGACATATTTCTGTCTTAATTTTTACTTAAGCGTTCTATTGTGCGTATTGAATTGGACACAAATACTTTCAGGTTAATCAGCTTACAGAGGCCTAGCGTAAATCTGTTAATAGCTACCGGGCTAGAATTAGCGATCCCACCGCCCACTTTAACTGACCCAACTGCAATATCATAGTCTGATGTGACTGGTCTGTTTTTTTGTTTTTGTTTAAGAATTCTTAAGCCAAGCCCTTTATCTCCATATTCTGTTTTTGGCTAAACCACGACTACAGGGCCAACTTTCCCGGAAACAATTATGAATCAAAAAAATGATTTGATTTTGATTTCAGACAGGATATCAGTCGCAAACATGTGGGATGGACCAGGGCCAGGACCAAGACAACGAGGAGGACCCGCCTTTCGGTAAGGGTTTAAATAACGTATAATATTTAGCATCGTTGGGAGCTGGTGTTAGTAAACATCATGTCGGACACGATTACAAATGGAGTGCGTTATTTATAACCGTTTACGTCGTTGACATGGTATTAAAATGCCAACAATACGTGTGTCAATTGTTACTATGGTTATCAGATCTGGTTGACACAAACACTAGTAAAACACAGCAGTGTAATATTGGTACAGGTTGACAAGTACAGTTGACTATGCTGTTAATTTGTGTGTGTTAATATATAATATTATATATATTATTATAATATATATTAATCAGAGCTGCTGAAAAGATGTTTAACAATAAATAATCCAGTGGTAATTGATAACGGCCATTACAATCGTAAAAGCGGATTTCAAAAGATGGTGCTTGTAATAGCCCCAAGGGATTGGTTAATTTTATGCATACAGTCTAAATCATTGACTAATATATTCTTATGTGTTCTAGTGGCAATCAACGTGGAGAAATGTTTGGGGGCAGAGATCACCCCATGCCTAATTTTAGAGGTAGAGATGACATGAATATGGGTTCTATGGGTCTCATGGGCCCAAGACCTCTGGATCTGCCTCCTATGGACATGAGAAGGATGGATGGACCACCCCCGAGAGGCCGTAGTATGGAGCCATGTGATATGAGGGGTAGAGAGCCAAACAGGGAGGCCATGAGATGGGGAGAAAAACCAGATTTCAGCCTCAGAAAGCAATTTGAAAATTCCATCAGGGAAAAATTGATCAACAACACTGGTTTCATGGGCCCAAACAGGAATGAATCGGACATGGAGGGAAGGGGTAAAGCCCCTTGGGATCAACACAACAAATTTAATGATATAAGAGAAAGAGACTCGTTCCATCCCAACATGCCACAGTTCAATAATCCCAATGGTGAAGGAAGAAGAGGGTTTCCAACTGATCGAATGAATACACAGGATGGGTTTAGAGACATGCATGAATTACCTCCTATGGGTTCTGGAGAAGGTGATCGGTATAATATGAACTTTCCCCCACATGAAAGGAGAAGAATGGACTTTGACAGAAGGGGAGGGCCGCCGCCTTTTAATCCAAGAGGTGAATTTGATTCAGATATGGACTTCAGAAATCGCCCAGAATCATCAGGTGACTTTAGAGCTAGAGACCGATCACCCTTAAGGTTTGGCAGTAATGTTGGCTCAGTGGATCATAGGGGTTCAGATATGTCCTCAGTTGCTCCTGGCCCGCAACGATTAGGATTTACAGGTGCTGATGATGCCTCCAGAGATAGGACATGTCAAGAGCCAAGTGGTAGCCCCCTCATGGATTATCGATGTGGCGAAGAGATGACTCTTGCTGAAGAATGGAAGAACCGACAAAAGGATAAAACCTCTTTTGTGAATGCACCAAAAGGTATTGGAGAAATATGTGAACCAAACTTTCCTGTAGGGTTTGGTAGAGATGTTAATGTTCGAGATCCACTGTCTTTTCAAGAAAGAGGAAGGCCATCTGGTGAGTTTCCAAGAAATGATATCCGCTTTCCGCGTGATGGCCACTTTCCTGTCAACAACTCTCCACAAATTGGTGGGAATTGCCCACAAGAAAATCAGCCTTTGGAGAGAGGTCGCTTCACTGCACCATTTGGTAGAAGTAATGACGGTAAACGTTGGCTTGAAGAAAGGCATCCAAAGGATAATCAAAATAAATCACAGGAGAGGAGTGAGGAGCCGAATGAACGTTTTAAAGGGTTGGAAGACAGTCCATGTGCCACTGGGGGTAAGATGGGTCATGATTTTCAAAGCAGCAGCACCGTGCAGGTCAAAGATCAAGACTACAGAGACATCGATTACAGAACTGGGTCTGTGGGAACGTTTGATTACAAACGTGATGAGCTTCCACCAACAGAGAAACTGATTCCTGAGTCCAAACCTATCCCACCTTCAAAATTTAGTCAATCTGGTTGTCAGGTTAGTGTTGTTTTTTTTATTATTATTTATTGAATTGTATACAGTTTTAAAGGACATTGAGTTTTTAATTCAAATGTATCCAAATGTCTGTAAAAGGACCAAGATTACAGGAGTGCGTCAGTGGAAGAGAAGGTGTCCAATACAATATCCATCATTGGTATTCCAAAGACCGCAACGATGGAGCAGGTAATTGACCAGATATAATTGAAATACTACGTTATTGTTTGTGGGAGATGTTTGATTATCAGTTGACAACTTGTTTTGCAGATCCTTGGCGCCTTTGTGGTCCGTGATGGGGCTCCTTTGCAGGGGATGAAAGTCAAAAATGTTGTGCCAGGTAAGATTCAAATGTTTTTTCTTCAAACCTTTGAGGCAATCGATCGCCCATATCTCGACATTTCGCTCTTTACGACACTCGAAACTCCGCAATCGCTTATGTTGACGATCAAGGTTTCTGTTGTTGCTGGTCTGTGTGAAATTGCTCATGAAATGGGGTGTGGGTCCTTGAAGTCATCCTTCAAGCTGGAGGATGCAGGGTCATTGTCTGAGATTTACCAGACAATCACAGCTTAAGGAGCTATGGTGAACGACCTCTGACCTGGTGACTGACTAAAAAGTCATTTAGGAAAAGTGAGTGCCACCTTAATTCTGAAATGGAAACTACATGATCAGTATTTTGTTTCTCTGCTGAATCAAATGTCTGCATTTGAGGGAAAGGTTTTCTTACCAGATTTGGACCTTTTTATGTTTTATTTTTTTATTCTTCACTGCACAATATTAGCCACCAAAAGACTTTGGATGTCCTGCGTTACTTTTACATTAATATCCAATACAAATTTTCCCGTCTCCATGATGTGTTCAATGCAGTTGCTGGCTACATCAGTGTTGAATAAACCTAGTAAGGCTTTATTCTGTTAGATCTTGTAATAACAAAGTCTGATACGATCATCGGTAGACTTGGTAGATAAAAAAAAAATCTCAAAAACAAAAAAAAAAACAAACTCAAATGTGTTCCAAGACAAGGTACGTGTGGGCTAACGGGGGGTAAAATTCGCATTGTACTCGATCAGTTCACCAACTGGTGTGTTTTGTGTTACAGTAGGTGACATTTCTGGCATTGACTAACAAAACCCATTTGTATTTCAAATGCTGTCCCCAGGTTACAGCTACGATACCGCCTATGTGGAGTTTTTAAACCTCGAGGATGCTGTCCACTTCATGGAGTCCAACAAGGTGGCCCATCCTCGTCTCTCTACTGAGGCCGTCTCTCACATCAGGATTACGAAGGGGTTGAAAGGGGTTTCTAATCAGATGGGGAGGGGGAGAATCTGGGAACATGAGAATAACTCCTGTTTTAAGTCCAATAACTTGAACCAAGGAGACTAAATTCAGTGTGAATGTTTTTGGATATTCACATCTGGACTTTACGAGATAATATGATTACAACGTGTGTTGTGCTTTTCCACTCGCCTAGAATTAGATTGACTTTAAGTTAGTTTGTTAGCACAGAATCCTTGAACAAGGATGTGTTTTGTGGTACGTTTTTACATGTGGTAAAGTGTGTTACGGTGTTGATTTATTGATATAGTGTGTCACTAGAAGAGATTGGCATCTCTCTGTGCACTTTGTTTTTTTCATTATCTTCAGACCTTGTTGAGAGCAGAGCTTTATGGTTCTCAGGCGTTAATCAGTAGAGTCAAAGTCACAGACACTTCTAGCTCTTGGTTTTTTGTTTGTTGAGTCGTTGCAGATGGCGACGGTTCTCTTAGAAACACCACTTGTTCTCTCATACAGTCGCCACTAAATGCACAGCTGAAGGATGTCACGCTGCTATCTGACAAAGTTGAGACAGATTTGACACACGTCTGTGTTTGAGCTCTACACTGTCACATTCCTTTTCTGTCTCGATGAGTTGTCCTTCATCTTAAGATTCAGGAGATGGCGGTCGCTCTACCAAATGGGTTGCATCACTGCTTTGGTGCAGGCACAAAAACAACAGTTTCTTACGTTCCCTGGAGTTTGCACAGCTTTGTCATCGTGGTGAGATGAAGCTGCAACCTAAACTTTTATCTTTCTTTTCCTCAAACCTCTGTCAACACCTTTCTTTTATTTTGACACACTGCGTTGAGGTATTTTATTGTATAGGTGATGCAAATATTTCCTTCTTAGTCTTTCTTCATATACAGTGTCAGAAAAGACCACAGTGTGGCTGCACTGCATCTGTGGCAGTTTTTCATTGGTAATTTTTTTTTTGTTTCGTCTTTCTTGGACTTTTCCTTCAAACCTACTTCAGTGGATCTCGCTTGAACATTTCTCACTGTTGCAAACACTTGAAGTTCATTCTTCCTTTTGATTTCTCCTTGATAAAAGAATGGATGAAGTTCATTCTTCCTTTTGATTTCTCTTTGATAAAAGAATGGAGTTCTCGTTCTCGACCTCATACGGTCTTCAGCCTTTTGTGCTGTTTATTTCAATAGTTTAAAAAGCAGAAGAAGAGACTGCAGTGGAACTGGGTTTTTATGTTTGTTTTTCCAATGCTGAATTTAACTGAAGGGACGGGCTGTGTGTTTTTGGTATTGGTTTGGAGAGAATAACAACATATAACATGATGCAGTCCTTCTTTGGTGACAGTTTTTAGACACTTTGTCCTCGTGAGCTGGTGGACCTGCCCTGGCCTTGGTTCAGTTGTTGTTTGAGTTTTGATAGTGAGTTTTGATTCCAATCTGAACGGTTTTCAAGGAAGGGATTTTCTATATACACTTATTCAAGTGTTGTGTGAAAGTGTTTATCCCATGGGAATGGAGTTGGCTTCCAATTATAAACGTCCCAACTTCATATCCTGCTGTGTGTCTAAGCCCGAACATTACAATAATGGCTTACGTTGAATGTGGAGGGTTGTGTTAGGAAGACACTGCTGAAGAGAGAAGTCACGCAAACCTTCATTCCTAGAATTATTAGGAACCAGGGTTGGACTGAACAGACGTTAGTCAGACAAAAGATGGAAGCTGAGGTCACCTAGAGGTTCAGACCACCTGTCTGTTACTGCAGCACGATGGAAACGATAGGCTGTGTAAAGCATGATTCCCGACCCTTGGTTTTGCACACCAATGTAAAGACTTAGTCCACTTTATCCTCACAGTGACGAGGAGGACTAAACCTGCCTAAGTGCACATCATAGGTGTTCTTGTAAGTGCGAGTCTCCGGTGTTGCCTGATGCTGATTTATCTCTTCTGCTCTCTTTTCAGGGATCTCTAAAGGTTGGCACTAGAACAGCGTCCATGAAATTCGTCCAACCAGAAAAGCACGAACGAGTCCATGTAGGTGTAGTGAGAGGGAAAATATTACTATACTCTCAAAAGACGGGATATTTTATTGACTTTTATTCTGTCTTTATTCTGTCTCTGTTTTATCTTTATTTTCAAGGAATTAGTTCCCAAACCCCAGGACCCCCAGTTGCCCCCATCAGATGTACCGTCAGAGAACTTTAACACTAACCCGAGTGACACCCAACCTAGAGCTCCTGTGGACCCACTGCCCCATGACCTATGGCCCCGCAACTCTGACCTGACTCCAGAGGCTTGGCAGCAGCAGGTGGATCAGCAGCAGCAACAGCAGCAGCAAGACAGGGAGCAGCAGGGAGAGTCCTGGGGAGGTCACGGCCATCCTCCCCAAAACCCCCTCCACACTGGATCAGTCTTTAAAGACAGTAAAAGTACATGGAGCAAACATTCTGGTGTTCTGTGATTTATTTTTTTTATTTTTTTTAGCTTTAGCAACTATTTAGTGTAACATATGACTGAAACGACTGAAAAGTATTGTCAATTCTGTCACTGTGCAGCTATGATTATAAAGAACGTGAAGGCCACCACCACAGTAGAGACCATCCTCAAGGCCTTGGATCCCTACGCCTACCTGGATGAAAGAAATGTGCGTCTAGTCAAGGGCAAGACACCTGGAGCCAAGTGCTTCTGCTTCGTGGATATGGATTCACACGAGGTTCGTACGTGGAACCCGTTATGGCACTGAATTTCAATGATGTTGCAGAGCGATGATAGTCTTTTTGTGCAGCGTTGCCTCAGCACTAACAGAAATGTGGTCTGTTGCAGCAAGTGACACGTCTGGTTGAGCTGCTCACCAAACCCAGACCGCTCTACGTCGATGGAGTCAGAGTTTACGCCGAGGTTGCTAAACCCCTGAAAAACCAGAAGTGAGGGTTGAAATGTCAAAGTTCAAAGTTTGTCTCATCTGTGGTACAGAATGTTTCTGTCTCTTAACATCATTTTCTCCTTGTTTCAGTTTAAGGAGAGATTTTGACAAGCCTAACACGTCTATTCTTGGGTGTCCACCTGAGCCCAGCATGGTGGGGGTGAGTTTTCAACCTTCAGTGAGATTTGATCCAGAATCATCTAGAGAAACGGAACAGATTTTTTAGGTAAACTGATTTTTTTTTTCTCTCTCTGTTGTCATTCCAGCTGCATCAGTTCTCCCAACCTCAGCAGTATTCTCTCCCTCCACCTGCTGCTCCTGTTGCTCCTGCTGTAACACCAGGTGACTGTTCACAGTCTATTATATATTTTTTTTACAGCTTAACTCATCGCTCAACTGTTTGCATAATAATAATAACTGAATCTTGTGTCTGCAGGTCAGTTAATGGGTGGAACCAACCTGTCCTCAGATCTGGGCGTGAACCAGGTAGGTTTTTAATCAGAACGCAGTGATAAAGAAACCTCGTGTCACAGCTAAGTCACCGATCACTCGTGTCTTTAACACCTCGCAGGGACATGGCTACGCCGAGAGTCAAACCATGGATCCGTCTTTTCACACCGGTGGATCTCAGGCGCCCACAGAGTCGACCAGTATGGCTGCCACGGCAGATGAACCGCAGACGTACGGCAGCGGTGAGGCCTTGATTTTAACCTAGTGTTGTATGCTACCGGTATGGCTGCCACGGCAGATGAACCACAGACGTACGGCAGCGGTGAGGCCTTGATTTTAACCTAGTGTTTTAACTGCACTGTCACAAATAAATCCACAGCAGCGCTCCGTGGTGATAGGTGACACAGTGACTTAGATGAACACAAATCTACCAATCTCTGAAAGAGCTAAGACAATATAAACACCTGTGGGTTGAGAATGTTCTCTGTCTGACCTGAGGATTTCATTTCAAAGAAGCAGCTGCTGTAACACAGCTCTCTGTTTATGTTCTTCATTTAAATTTTTTTTTTAACCAGAATAAAACCATAATATAAATAATAACTTCCTAAAATGTCTTCACCCACTTCCAGTTGATCATTAAACAATATCTGTAATTTGACACCTTATTGGGTTTAGGTGCTTCACCTGTCCTTTCTCTGAAGTTGGCTTTATTTTGGCAGAGGTGATGTCAGTGATTTTTCCTCATGATTTCTGTGACAGAAAATGAACAGGATCATGTTTTTAAAATGATTATAAACAGACATAAGGTCATAAAATGTCATGCTCTTTCCAAAACAAAACAAACTTCAACATAAAAGTTAGTTTCTTGTGAGCGACTGTATAAGTATTTCTGTTTGTATTTATTTTGCCTCCATACGTTCAGGTTCTGAAGTCCCAGACATGTCCAGCTATTTATACGACTCCACTTCAGGATTCTACTACGACCCCGAGACAACTCTGTATTATGACCCCAACTCTAGGGTGAGGATGTTGACTCTCACGTATTATTCCATATGTTTGACTCGTTTGGTTTTAAAAGGATTTGCTGTGATGTCATTTTCAAGTTAGAGCCCAAACAAAAATATATTTGCTAATATATGATAATTATACATTTTTAACCAATCCTTCTATCTTATCTTTTTTGTATAATATATGATAATTATACATTTTTAACTAACCCTTTTATCGTGTATCTTTTTTGTGCTGGTGTAGTATTTCTACAATGCTCAAACTCAGGACTACCTGTACTGGGATCCAGTGTCGAAGACGTACGTTCCGGTTCCAGCAGGCAGCTCTGCAGAGACGCCGTCGGTGACTATGACGGCTGAAGATCGAGCCATTCTCTCCAACCCGGCTGCAGACGCTCCCTTAGAAATGAGGAAGTCGTCTGCACTGTCTCCCCCTGGAACAGATCCAGCTCACCCGTCCGCTCCAGAGGCCGCCTCCGTTTCTGCAACGACTCCTGAGAAGAAGGAGGACGAGGAGTCTGTGAAGAAGGACAAGGAAGACAAGCCCAAGAGTCTTGCTGCCGTCAAGGTACTACTTCACGTGCACTGATGTCTTTTGACTTTGGAGAGTTTGGAGAAAAGGGTTGTTTTAATATCCGACGTTTGCAGATCATGAAGGATATGGAGCGTTGGGCCAAAATTCAGAATCGTCAAAAGGAAAGTGTCCGATCCCCATCGCCCGTGCTGAAGACCGGAATGGACGATGACAAGAAGCAGTCCAAGTCGGCTGATGCTGCTTTCGCCATCTTTGAGAGAAAGGTCAGTGAATTTGACCTTTGATTCTAAACAATTGTAACTGTGGTGATTAATAGATTTAACACAGTTAAAAACAGTTTCTTGTGTAAATATATATTTGTTTTTATCTCAGGTCTCTGGTGGTGACGATCTTTTTAAGAAGCCCATGGCTCCACCGAAGAAAGATGAAAAGTCTAAGGTGATGCCCCCTGCTGTTCTCCTCACTGTCTCTGTCTCAGCGCCCCCTGTCTGTTTCACTGATAATTATTTGTAATTCATTCAGCGTCCAATGGGCTCCCTGGGATTGTTGGTATCAGATTACGGTGCCGGCAGTGATGAAGAGGTTGAAGAGGACAGAGAGGAAGATGTTAAGAACAGTCAGAACAGTCAAGCCTTTCAGTCTAAAGACAAAGAAGACAAACTGACAGACTGGAAGAAAATGGCCTGTTTACTGTGTAGAAGGCAGTTCCCCAACAAGGACGCTCTGATCCGACACCAGCAGCTGTCCGACCTGCACAAAGTACGTCAGTCCCACGTCTGTAGAAAAAAAGGCTGTCGATGGTTGACTTTAAAAAAAAAAAAAAGGCCTCATAACAGTTTTGTTTTGTCAACAGCAAAATATGGAAATCCACCTAAAGATCAAGAGGTCGAAGAAAGAGCTGGAGGCACTCGAAAACCAGGAGAGAGAGGTAAAGAAAACCTTCAAGGTAGGACTGAAACTTCTTCTTAAGCACAAGGTGTGATTTTTTTCAATGGATCCAAATGATTGAATAATGTGGAAAAATGTCAAGAATTTTGTGCAAAAGTAAAACTAAACTTTTGTGTCAGTTGTTGGAGTTTTGTCATAACCACACCGGTTTGTCATAAAAACATTTGGTAAAGCTGTTCTCAGCCGTGTTAGTCAGTCTACAGCCCAGTTGTAGACTGACTAACCGTCCTGCGCTCAGTGAGGCGCGCTGGGCGTCTGACCTGAAGCTGAAGCCTTCGTAAACACTTGCTGGGCGTTGAATACTTCAGTGTCTGTGCGTTTCCCAGATGAACGTTAAAGAAACAAGATCGCCAGAGCAGAAGAGAAAAAAACACCACCAGCATCAGCAGCACTGGGCTGAAGGCCCTCGGTAGGTCAACGCTGACGCACTTGTACATAAATGACCATAAATGAAAAACGCATCGTCGTTTTAATCAAATATATCGACATCAAATAATAAGTCTAAAGTTTTGAGATGTTGATCAGAATTGTTTTCTCTTTGTAGCGAAGGAAGAGGAGTCAGTGAGAGGCCTGGGTTAGGAGCCGAACCCGTTCAGGTTTGTGTGAAGCTTCATTCAAACGTCACATGTCACACCTTTTAATGTATTTGTTGGTATTTATTTCTTCTGCATTTGTTTTTTTATTTGCAGAAGAAAAAGAAAGAACCCGTTGTTTGGGACAGCGGCGCCTACAAGCAGCTTTGTCGCAAGGCCATGTACGCCCGGTTCAAAGAACTGGAGTGAACAATGTTCAAACCTGATTTATGAAATATGAAGGACATGGGGTCACGAGGAGTCACTGCAACCTCCCCCCCCCCCCCCCCCCCCACCCCCCACC